CCCCCCCAAGCAGGCACCACACAACACCTCTAAGGAAAAAACACGGTTTATCAATACATATGTGTATATTTTTTTTTATATATATAATTATGATGTCCGAGTCAGTTTACGTGCACTTCGATTAATTTTATGAGCTACATTCAAACATCTCTGTAACAACTTCGTTTGTTCCGAATATTTTTGGATGTTATAACGAAATACTGTTATAGAGAATATCTATTTTAACATAACATGAAAATTAGTTTCGGAAAAGTTTGGCTTTTATAGTGAAGTGTTGTTATATAAGGATGTTGTTATAAAAATGTCTGACTTTATTTGCTATCTTACATCAGCACAATTATTCAATTTTTATCGAATTTAATTATGTAGAGAATTTAATTCACATACATTGTTATAGTATAATTTGTTTTATGTTATCTATGCTATTTATCTTATTTTTCATATTAAGAATATCACTTACTATTATGGATGGTTGTATACAGTTATTTTAGAGATGATTTGATATTTAAAAATTCTTTGACATTTTCTATCTTTTTATCATATATGTTACTAATTTTAGTTATCATAGATAATTCCTAGTAACTATTGAGAAAATGATCTTTTGTAGCACTTACGTTTTGAATATAAGAAAATGACTTTTTTAGTTAGATATTTTGTGTATTATTTTTACACCTTTTATATGTAAAAGAAAAAATTAATTATAAAAATAACATAAAATTAAAAATAAATTTGTAAAGACAACAAAATCAATTCTTCCGTAATTATTTTTAGTCGACAATGTAGGAATTCTTTATCACTGACCATACGTAAAAGTTCAAACTCATATAAGTGTATTCTACTTTTTAGGTTTATATAATTTAATTTCCCAATATTTATTGCCTATAGCACACGTTTAGATCAGAGATACAGCGCGTCCAAGCGCGTGGTATAGTCACCTTCAGAAAGCGCCACCTCAACACACCCCTCTTTTTCTTTGCTCGAGTTTGAAGCATAAGGTCACCGTAAACAAATGTGATGTTTAACCACGAAATTATTAGCTACGATAAAAAAGGCGTCGCTAATTATTCATTTTCAATGACAAAAATAACAATCCGTATTTAAATGCATAAAGGGTAAATTTTTATTGACCAAATTCAAATTTCGTAGCAAAAATTTTGTCTACTAAAGTTTCCCACCAAATAAATGGATTGGCGCCAAAAATTGAGTAATATTAGCCACAAAATTAAAGGTATTGGTGACAAATTAGTTTTGTCACTAATGTTCTAGACAATTTGTGACAAATCAATATTTGTCTTAAAACTAATTATATTTTGGACACGAATAAGTTTTGTCACTAAAAGTATGCAATTAAAATGGTGACAAACTAAAATTTGTAGTTAAATGGTGTAAACTTTAGCCATAAAGTTTTATAATTTTTGCGACCTTAGCTTTTGTCACTAAAGCATAAACAATTAGTGAAAATCATAGTATCGTCTCTATTTAATCCACGAAACTATTAGTTATCGCTGAAAATTTGTCACTAATTATTGGCTATTTGTAACAAAAATTACACCCGTACTTAAATATATCAGGGACATACTTTTAGTGACAAAACATAAATTTCGTAGCAAAAATTTTGTCTACTAAAGTTTCCTACAAAAACAATGGTTTGGCGCCAAATATTAAGTAACATAAGCCACAAAATTAAAGACATTGGTGACAAATTAGTTTCGTCACTAATGTTGTAGACAATTTGTGACAAATTATTATTTGTCTTAAAATTAATCATAATTTGAATACGAAAATAGTTTCGTCACTAAAAATTTAATTCTTTTTACTTTTTGATATTTTGAAACAATTTCATCCCTCCTTGAATGTACCTCTTTAATTATTGTAGATATCTTCCATCAAATTTAAAAGAAATTAATTTTTAATTATATTTTAAAAGGTATACTTAGAGTTTAAATCTTTGTACGTATAACTAGTTATGAATTTACTAATAAATTATTATATTTTGTTAATTTTAATTAGTGAAATATGAATAACTTTTTAAATTAAATTTTTGTATCTTTTAACAATTTGATTTAATATTGATATGTATAATAAATTTTTAATCATGGCTCATGAGTTATCCTTGTTAGCAAACGTTTTAATCTTGTGGTATTTTTTGGTAATATAATAAAGTTAAAGTGTAAATAAATTGCCAACAATATATTTTTTAAAGTTAGTAAAAATATTTTTGTTACTGATAAAATACTTAATTACACGAAAACCAAATGTTTTCATTATTTTTCAAAGTTGAACAAAAAAAAGTGGCGGTAAGTTTGCCTCCTTTTCTTTATGTTCCCCCAAATCCCTCCTTTTAATTTGTATACTGCCGCCTCCATCCCCTTCATCTCCCCCACGTCTCCTTGTATCTCTTTGTATGATCTTCATCCCCATCTAACTCTTAACCCAGTAAGATCTGCCTATTGTTTATGTTTCTTTAATTTTTGTGAGGTTAAGTACTCAAAATTTGATATTTCTTACTCTTAATTCTTGAGGTTATTTGCAGCCAGAGAGGAATTGAGAATATCTGTTGTGTTAAATCGAGTAAGTATTTTATTCACCAGTACTTATTTCTTATTCTATTGTTTGCTTCACTAATTAATACATAATTTATGATTAACGTTTAATTTTTTTTTCTAAATCATGTATAAAAACGTACGACTAAAATTATAACTTTTTTTCACAGGTACATGAACGTGGAAGTTATTCATTAGAATTAGATAAGTGGTTACATTAGAATTATTCTTGTATTCCGATTAGACTTTTCATGTTGGATAGATTTTAATTTATTTATATATTTTCATTTATGGAGTTTGTAATGAGATATTATCTCAATATAGTATTAGTTGTTTAGAATTATATGATCATGGATGAAATATTTTATTGTTACCATGCATGTTTTATTTAGTTATTTCCAATTTGTAAAATGATAAATTATCAATTAATGGAAAACTAGGTATACTAATTATAAATAGAACCACCACTAATTTAAATGACATCAAATTTTGTAACTATTGAAAAATGTATACCTCTAACATCTTATTTTTCAGCAACGACTATATTGTACTTTTCAAGACATTCACATTTATATTAGTTTGTCCCAAATTGAATGTATCTAATGACAAAAATAATATTTGTCTGACAATCGCTTTTATCAACCACCAAGTAACGTTTTATTTATGACAAGTGTAATTGTCACTAATCATAAAAATTTGTAGCGATAATTTTATTTAGTTGATAAAAATAAAATTTTAGACGGAATTAATTTTTAACTACAAAATTATAAACCATTTTTACAAAAGAAAAATTGTCACTAATGTATAATTCATATATTTAGGGACGTAATATTTTTTCGTATATAAAAGGTGATCTTTAGTGACAAAATTACTTTTGTACTACTATGAAATATGCACAATTTTAGAGACAATTGACGTCGTCACTAATTAAGCTAAATAGTTAGTGGCAAAATTATTTTGTCGGTATTAATAACTTTTTAGTGGCGAAAATAAACAATTAGCTACAATTTTTATTTTACTTTCTCTGACAAACAAGCTTGTCACAGATACTATTCATTTGGGGACGGAAAAAAATTCGTTGTTAATATAGTTTTATTTAGCGACGAAATAATAAGTTATTTTTGTATACTTTTAGTGACCCTCTTTCAGGGACGAACTATTGACGAATTATTTTTTCTCATAAAAGCTTTTTTATGACGTAATATGAAGTTTAAGTGACAAAATAATTCGTCATTGATAATCAAATTTGTTGTAGCACGAGAGAAATACTCAGTTCTCACACCTCAGCCAGAAGAGAAAATAAAGTTGCCAAATTTCTGTAAAGAAATTTTCTTGAATAACCATTTGGGATAAAGCGGCTAATTCATCAAAAATTACATACATTTGACGTTATAGGGGTATGGTTATTATATACAGTCATACCTCTCTATTACAGCCACATTTGCTCCGAATATTTTTGGATATTATAACAAAGTGCTGTTACAGAGAACATATATTATAACATAAAATAAAAATTAATTCCGAAAAAGCTTAGCTTTAATAGAGAAGTGTTGTTATATAGGGAAGTACTGTTATAGAGAGGTCTGATCGTACTTGCCGCATGTTGACCTTAAATTTACTTACCAAATGCATATTTTTAGATGACTTTGCTTGGGTTTTTCCAAGTCATTTTATTTAGGTAGTATAAAAAAATTATAATATTTTTCATTTTCTATTCGGCAAAGGGCCAAATATACCCCTGTATTTTCGAAAATGGTCTAAGAATACCCCTCGTTATACTATTAGGTTATATATACTCTTCCCGTCATACTTTGGAACAAATATACCCTTATTTTGGATGGAGTGTCACGTGTTAGCACCAAATGAAAATGACCAATTTCTTTTTTTTTTTACCCGGTCCGTTTTAAAAAATCCACCACCCGACCCGTTTTAAAATTCAGTTTTTTTAAAGCATGTATTTTGTAAAAACTGAAATTTGTTTTTGTAAAAACTGAAAAAAAAAAAAAAAGAATTTGCAAAATATATATTTTTAAGTCTTTTCAGTTTTTTTAAAGTATTATTTTTGTAAAAACGAAAAAAAATATTTTTTTTAAAATGCTTTAAAACTGAAAAATATATATTCTGTAAAAACTAGAAAAAAAAAAGAATTTACAAAATATATATTTTTAAGTCTTTTCAGTTTTTTTAAAGTATTATTTTTGTAAAAACTGAAAAAAAACATATTTTTTTTGACACTTAACTATTGACATGTTACAGCTTTGCCATTTTCTATGTTTTTTTTCCTTTTCAAAAAACTTT